GGGCCCCTCTTGAAAACAAGTTTTCAAGGCATCATGATCACATATCAACACATGAATGAAAACAAAACAAAAACGTGGACCGATCGACCCAAACATGAACAGAGACTCATGTTGACCTATGTCATCGACAATGGCTGGTCTAACCTTGAAATGTGCTCATAATCTGCAAAGCCCAAGCACTCATATATGTAGGTAGGTATGACGACAACATGCCGCCTCTCTTTGTTTGTTGTATGCAACAATTGAGCCAAGTTCAGGGAGGGCATAACTTGACTTGTTCCATGTGACTTGGAAGCATGGAGAGCAGCTCAAGAGCAGAGAGTGAGAGAAAGGGTGTATGCAACTACCATAAAAAAGCCCCATAACACCAGCTCCATTATATGTTGCGATTGAAACGCTCGTGACTGTAAAGACATAAACGCTGGTGGCTTTGCAGATAGACACCAATGATGATGGTGGTGGTAGTGGCAGCGGCTATGGTGGTGGTCTATGACGGCATGTAAGCTGTAAAATTGCAACGCCAACCCAACATAACACCCCTCAATGGCAGAAACACCAACTCCATCGCCATTGCCATAATCATCGTCATCATCGTCGCCACCAGCAGCTACACTCAAGAAATTGTTTTTACCGACTTTTGGGGTATGTTCGTTCGTTTGATTCCAAAAACGTGCTGTGGCAATTAAAATTAAATACAATTTTTAGATGAATTGCCTATGTGTGTAAGAATGTATGTTAAGTGGCATGTCTTGGTTACGATTTTTGGGTTTTACTTTTTTGGATGTTGTTTATATTCCAATGGAAATGTTTAATTGTATAAAACTCGCAAAATGTGGTGTTGATAGATTTGTAAATTTGTTTTAGGGGGCACCCGGTCACCATCGTCGCAGTGTGCCAAAATAAACTACATAAGAAAAATGAAACCTGCATCATAGCCATGTTAATGTTTTCGACAGCCGAACATGGTACCTGAAGTAGTGCACCGCAACTACTGCATAATGTTAACATCAGTTGGAAAAGGCTGCCGCTTTTTACGTTGAAGCATGGCACAGTGGGGAGGATTTTTGAAGCGGATTGAAATATTTACGGGGTAAATTCCATGGGATATAAATAGGCGAACTTTAATATTTTTTTTAGCATTTTATAGTTAAGAGAACTTTTGAAATTTTATTATAGACAAAACAAATTTCCTTGTGGCTTCAATAAATATGTGGTTTGTGGAATTGACAAAATTGACATTTGTATTTTTAAAAATCCGTACTTCCACATTTATTAAGCGAAGTCGTCTAAAAATAAGCCAATTTTTTGTTTGATTGTAGGAGAGTATAGAATTATAAGAAAATATAGCATATATTTATATATTTAAAAATTCCTTTTGAAATAGATTCTACCAAATATATTTTCAAACTTCTTTAATTATATTCCCCCAAAATTATCAATGCACATTTAGCAGAGCTCCCATAACAAATGAATTTATTTTAAGTAGATCATACCACCTATCCACATTTGGCTTTAAAGCACTTATAGTTTGCTATAGAGTGCATGAGATCACTTGGAGAAGAATTATACTAAAAAAGTGTATATCGGAGCCGAGTTCCACAAAATGGAAACGTACGTCCGAAATTAACTTCATTTGGGCTGATATTAGCCATTATTTGGACAAACACCTGAAATCGGATTAAGGATATATATGAGGATATCTAAATCTTAGCCGTTCTCGATAAAATTTGGCAAAGGTATTTCAGAGCTTTATAAGGTATTTGATACCAGATATCATTGTTGTCGAATGCATTTTGTGAATGTGAGAGTTGTAGCGATTTTCTCCGAATTTGATGTACTTGCTTCTAGATTAAATTTTGTCGGATGTACCAAAATTCAGGACTTTTGAACTGATATTGGCCATTTGGTGCACAATTAACTTGAAATCGGTTGAAGATACATATGGGCTCTACATCCGATTTTGATCAAATTTGCCAGAGTTATTTCAGAGCTGTATCTGATACCTGGTACAAAATATCATTGTTGTCAAACGCATATTACGAATGTGAGGGACTGAAACACCAAATCAGATAAAACATATATATGGGAGCTATAGCTATACCTGAACTGATTTTCACCAAATTTAATAAACTTCCTTCTAAACGGATTTCGGTTGGATTTGCCAAAATTCAGATCATTTGGACTGCACAATTAACCAGAAATCGGTTGAGGATATATATAGGAGCTATATCCAAATCTGAATCTTGACAAAATTTGATACACTTATTTCCGAGCTGCATCTGATGTCCGGTATCAAATATCTTTGTTGTGGAGTACATATTGCTCATATAAAGGACTGAAAACTTCAAATCGGATGAAACATATATATGAGATATGTGGCTATATCTGAACCGATTTCCACGAAATTTGAAATACTTGTTTCTAGCATGAATTCAGTTAAAATTGATATGTGGGCTGATATTAGCCATTTGGTGCAAAATAAACCTGATGTCTGACAAAAAATATATAAAATAAAATACCTATATCCTAGTCTGAAACGATCACGAATTTGACCCATGTATTTTCTGGCATTATCAGATGTCCTGTATCAAATATCATTGAAATTAGAAGTACTTGCTCCTTGACTGAATTCCGTCGGATATGCCAAAATTCAGGTCATTGGGACTGATATTGGGACAATTAACCAGAAATCGGGTGAAGATATATATAGGGTTCGTCCTTGGACCAAACAAATACTGTTTGCAAAATTTCATCTCAATCGGATAATAAATGCGACTTACATGCATAAATCGACCCAGAAAGTGATTCTATGAAGATCCTCAAAAGTAACTATGGGTCTATCTTGCATGTTACAAATGCACAAAGACATAATACCCTTACCAATATGTGGTGTAGTGTATAAAAAGAACAGAAGAGACAAATATTACAATTTGGCGCCCAATCAAACGAAAACTCAAACAATTAAAAAAAAAATTGAAGAGCTTAAAAAATTTTGTGGACTAAAAGGTTGACCCCCAATCTTTAATATTCTGAAAAGTTTGAGAGATTGAGATAATCAAAAAAAAAAAAAAAAGAAAAAACAAATGTTAAAATTCGCGCCCAATCTACAAAAAAAAAAAAATCCAAAAATGATAAAGGGAAAATACTGGAATAATGGGGCCAATAGACTAAAATAACGAAAGTGGCGCCCAATCTTGCAGCGAATTGCGGAGAAAGATTATAATTGTATGACCATTGTATCACATTTATAATAATGCATCCTTATTTTTCCAAACAAAATCTGCCATTGTGTCCCTCTCATGCATGCATTGTATTTGTTGCATGCTGCATGCGTTTTTCCTTAACTACTCTGACAGCTAATGGTGAAACAGCAGGCATTTCTTAGTTAACATATAAATGAGGTGTGAATGAGGCTTTTAATACTCGTTAGCGCTGGTTGCTTTTTTTGGCAATTTCTTAACCATTTAATTGTGGAGTCATGGAGTGTTTCATTAGATAACCTGATCAGTGTTACTCGATAGATTACAGTTTTAGTTGTCATGAAAATATCAAATTTGGTTTTTTTCCTGTTTTCATAGGTTTTTTTTTGTCGCTTCAGACGCTCGCTGGACTTTTCAATTTTCAAAGTTTTATTTGTTTATTTGTCATATGATTAATAAATGATTAATGGCGCCCAACGTTTTACGCTGCACACCAAGCGCAGGCTTTTATCTTTGACTTTCATCTCCCTCGAAATCACATCGCTCATTCATTTATACCGTTTTTTCACGATTGTTGTATTTGTTGTTATTATGTTTGATTGTCAGTCACTCACCTATTGCAAGGGGGAGCTTTGATTTGTTGTTGTTCTTCGGGGTTTATTGTATGGATATAAGAGAGTTAAACAAATATGATTTGAATTCCCTTTCGGAAAGAAAGACTGTCATAAAAATTCAGTCATTCATTCCTGGGCCATTGTAGTGGCCATGCCACAAGTTACCTAGCTGGCTGGCTGGCTGGCTAGCTGTCTGCTTGCTTGATTGTCTGTTTATTGTTTTATGATCTCAATCAAATCCGCTTTCAATAACGCCATTGCGTGCTGACTGCGTTTAATAAACCTTATCAGTTTCACTTGGTTTCTGTGAAATATTAAATGAAACCCGTTCCGTTGCCAGATATCTACATATCAAATTTTATGATATTTATTCATTTTTATAATTTCCTTAAGACTCTAAGAACAAGCTGGAAATGGAATGCATATGTGGAGAGGGAGGGGGTGAAAAGCTCGTCACTTTGTAAACAAAGTTCTCGATTTAATTGGTTATAAAGTTAGAGAGAAAATAGTAGGTGTGTTTCTAAGGGCAAAAATGTAATACGCCGGTAAATATATTAGGGTAATTAGTCGGAATATTTCCACAGAAATCACAAGTATTTGAAATTACTTCCACATTTCTCAGGGACAAACCTATATTAGCTTTATTTTGATAGTTCTGCCAGGCATTCTTTTTCACTCTACCCCCTTTGCGATAGGTTAGTCGTTATTCATTCTTAGCATACTACCTACATGTATACCAACCACAACTACGACAGGGTGTTACTAATCTATCATTTTTAACCTGAGAGCGCCAGAAATACTTTTGACAGGCCAACGGCATAAATAGACAAGACAGGCAAGCGCTAAACTTCACTCAAATTGCCATATGTCAGCGTGCGAGCGTGTGTGTGGACTTTCGTTCATGGAAATTGTCAGACCCAAGTATTATCATATCAAAAGTTTGTTTTCGAACATAAAAACAAATCTGAACTCTCTGTGTAAGCAGTGGTTGGTCGCATTTCTTTCCGACACGTTACATGATAGTTCGTCCATCATTTAGAAAAGGGCACGCATGAAATCAGGCCAGTTCACATTTGTTTATATTTATTCTATTTGCTTTGATTTATTTAAACATAAATCCAACCCCCTCATCTCCCGCGCGCTCACTCCCTTCACTGATTAGTTTTAACAATGATTGAAGACTTACCTGTTTGGTGTATTTATGTCACGCTAATATAACAGCACACGCTTTCCTTTTTTTGTTCTGTCCCGTTTCTTTTGTAAAGATAAATCTAAAAGTAGAAAGAAAATAATGGGATTAGTCAGAGTGAAATAAAAAATTAATTGCTAAGAATGTTTTTTGTTTAATAATTAAAAGGCGGGACAATATTTGAAAAAAAAAAATAATTACTTCTTAGGGAAGATATTAAAATATAACCAAGTTGGAGCATAAGGAAATGAAGTTTACTTGAGCCAGATATTAAGAATAGTTTTTTTTTCCGAGTGAACAGCTTTACAGATTAGTGCTTAGAGGAATTTCAGGAGCAGTATCGACTGCTCAGAATAGGTTGGACCCCATTAAAAATGGAATATGGTACAAACAAACGCGTCCGCTAAGTTGGCGCCCAATAAATTAACAGTCTGCCCTTGACAACTTTAAAAATATCGATAGAGGTGTTGAACACTGGAAGCATGGGTTATTCCTCAGAGCAAATATAATCCCCTTGGAAAACGAAATGAAACATAAATAAAGGCCTCCGATGAGTTGGCGCCCAATCAATTAACAACTTCCACGTCAGCTCGCGATAGTCTCGAAAGGCTTCAAAGGTTTCAATATTAAGAACAAATGTGATGCCCATGGAAAATGTTTCAAATAAGATGGCGCCCAATCAATCAATTAATAACTTCGACACCAGATCGCAATAAACTCAAAAGATCGATGCAGAGGTTAACTCTTTGCAGATGAATTTATTCATTAGAACTAATAGAACTAATAATAACACATTAGAGGACACTTAAAAGCTGATTGATTTTTGACAAAGGCCCCCTAATATATGAAATATATTTTAAACTGTATATGGAAACATAGAAAACATCTGCGAACAAAAGCATTTTAGTGAGAATTTTTCAGAAAAAAAAGTTGTTCGTGATGGAATTCAAGCGTGATAGTGTGATTTCTTTATATTTGACTGGAAAACCACAAGTGGCTATCGTTAGAACACTCCAGCATTTAAATGTGAATAAATCTTTTGTGTCTCGTACCATCGCTAGTTACAGTGATACTGGTAGCGTAGACGGACATCAGGGAAGTGGACGGAAGAAAACAGCAAAATCAGCAGAAATGGTTCGAAATGTCGCGTCGCAGTGGCCGAAAAATGGCTCGTGAGCTGAACATATCGCAATATTGAAAAAGGAGCTCAGGAAACAGTCATTGAAATTCCAAAAAGTGCAAGAACTACCACCGCAACAGAAAGAAAATATACTGGAAAGAGCTAAAGAGTTGCTTCGCTTGATCGAAAGTGGCGAACTGCCGAATTTGGTTTCTTCGGATGAGAAAACATTCGTTGTCCAGCAGTTTGTAAACAAACAAAATGATCGTATTTACTTGCCAAAGAGGTCAGCTGAAAATGTGCACCTTCGCTTGGCCAACAGAACACAAGCGCCGGCCATGGTGATGGTGTGGGCCGCCATAACGGCAGATGGTCGCTCTCCGCTCATATTAATCGACCGTGGCATCAGAATAAATGCCGAATATTATCGCGAAAATATTCTGAAGGGTGTATTAAAGCCTTGGGCACGCAAACATTTTGGCCGCAGGACTTGGACATTCCAACTGGACGCAGCACCAACGCACGCGCCACACAAAAGTGGTTACAAAATGAGGTTTCCGCTTCAGTTCCAGCTCACAATGGCCACCAAAATTTTCGGATACCAATCCGTTGCACTATTGTGTCTGGAGTTAGAAAAAATACCAAAGTGTCGATCACCTCAAGCAAGCTCTTCGCCGGGAATGGGCCAACTTTCCGCAGAGCAACATTCGGGCAGCCTTTGACGGCTTTATTGGCCATTTGAAGGCCATAATTCGGGCCAAAAGTGACAAATTCAAACAAATCTAAAGTTATACTAAAATTTGATGCTATTTCCGACATTTTCAATAAAATTTATAAAAAAAAATTAAAATTATGGCGTTTGGCTTTCTTGCAGTTTTTTTTTTATCTCACCCTGAGCTATATCTAAATGTCAACCGATCTCGATAAAATTTGGGAAAGGTATTTCTGTGCTGTATTTGATATATTTCCCCAAACATTGTTGTTACAGAGTGCATATTAATGCTGCGGAGGACAAAAATAATAAATCGGATGAACAGTATATATGGGAGCCCTAGCTATATTTGAACCGATTTGGCACATTTATTTTCAGGTCTAATTTGGTGTCTGATTTATGTGAAAAGTTCCATGCTATTTGGAATGTTATTACACGTTTGGTGCACAATAAAAGGCAAATCGGACGAAGATATATATGGGAGCTACATCTAAATTTTGACCGATTATGTCCAATTTCTATAGAATTCGTCCTTGGGTCAAACAAATGATTTGTGTAAAATTTCATCTGGATCGGGCAATAAATGCGAGTTGTACTTTGTTTAGAAAAATACATGGTCAGAGGGACGGGCAGACGGACGGACGGACATGCATAAATCGACTCAGAGTGTGGTTCTATGCAGATCATCAAAAATAACTATGGGTCTATCTTGTTTCCTTTTGTCTGCTATAAAACAAATGTACAAAGACGTAATACCCTGACCACCTTGTGGTGTAGGTGATAGATGAAATTTCAATATTTCACCAGACACAAACAAATGTGGCGCCCAACGTACTAAAAGTCCTGAATTGTTTAAAAACTTTTTTCGTGGATCTTTTAATAGAATATTATATGGAATTGTAAGGGCATTTTAAAGTGGATATTTAAAATATATAATTTTAAATATTATAAGAGTAATTTTTGAAGGACCATCAAATAGACAATTTAGGTGTTTTAAAAAAAAAAAAAAAACAAAATAATTTAATGTATTTAATGTTAATATGTTTAATTAATTTTTATAGGAATACTGGGAGCAATTATAACAAACTGTCTTCCACAGTTGCATTTGTCTTGAATATTTCAAAAGAATACTTCATGAATTCTGCAAGGATATTTGTTTTAGTGTAGTATTTATTGAGGTCAATCTAAAGTGAATTTCTTCCACAAATAATCGCAACTATTATACGAATATTTGGCAAGGACAGTAACGGAAATTATTTTAAAATTTACAAAGAATGTATTGAAATATCAAAAACATTACTCAATTATAATTGCATATGCTTAGCTATGTATTTCAAATGTATTTCTGTTCCTCTAAGCATTTCTATGTAGGTATTATTTAAGTTACAGTTGATGTTATGCTATTTTCTCTTCTCCAGACATAAAACAATTATCAAGGATTTTGAAAAATTCCTTTGCCAAGCCATAACACGATGGAATTGTTTTACACAACTCGTTTCGGATTTCGAATTGCTTTCAATTGGATGGCAAAGGATGGTGAGACGAGCGAGGTAAACTTATTAACATTTTAATTATTTTCTTGGAAAATAATCGCAAGATGCTGTGCCAGAGAAACCAGCCATCAAATGAATTCTTACAAATCATCACACATATACACACTCAAATGAGTGTATGTACATGGTTTGCGTGTATGCCTGAATCTGAAAGCGTGTTCAGTTTTAAAAACTCATTTCAATTTAGGAGTTTTACTTGCCTGCCGGTTGTCAAGTCTATAACATTTGCTTGAGAGTTAATGAAGAAGTATCGTTTTTCTTAAAACATTTCTACACCCACCCACGCACACACACGCACTCCGACACACACCACACCACAGAGACTGAAAAGTTTGCTGCAAAACGATACTAAAACGTTTAGTATATATTAAATTTTATTTTTTCGTTGTTATTGCGTTGTACGCATCCCCTTTGGGAACACAACACACTGCAGTGAGGAGAAGAGAAATCGAGTCGCATAACATATGGCTTTAAGATCCCTGATGTTTAACCCTTCCTCGACGACTTTGTGTTCCAAGAGAAACTGAACAGAATTTCGTTTCCATTTTGGGATATGCTTTAATACTTTGCATTACAAATACGATGGAGTGTACTTAACACCCGCCATTGAGAAGAATGTTTAAGGGTGACAAGCAATGAAAGAGGGGGGGGGAGTAAATTAATAATGCAGGGAAATTTGAATTAAATAACTGTTTTTCTACTTTCTTCCAATTTTTTGGAAAATAAAATTTTTACCATTTTCCACTTTTTTTTTAAATCTCCTTATACTTATCATACCACCCCTTATTGGCCCAGCAATTATGGCATATTTAAATAAAATACGGTTTACTGCAATATTCTCGCAGCCGCCGTCTCCACCATACTCATGCACACACACACCTCCACACCAAACAATTGGTGTGAGTTGTATTGAAATAATTTTGTTTTTATTTTTTTTGGTAATGACTGCGACAACAACATTGGCTTGGAATCGGGAGACCACTATTGGCATCACGGGAAATTCTATGAACCCCCCTGTACATTTGTGTGTGTATGAGCGTCAATGGGTGGTGATGGTGGTTGCTAGCATGTGACAACAGTTGCTGATGTCGTTCAAACTGTTACATATTTAATATCACACAGAGATTATTGCTGTGGTGTGAGCCGTTCATCATCATCATCGTCATCAGCGCAATGCCAAACTTCTGATGGACTGTTAGTGTGAATGTACTCTCCCGCTGTTGTTACTGCCGCTGCATACATTCATGAAGCTGGGTGTTTTATCGCATGCATCGTTAAATAAGTAGCGGCGAATTGTCACACACACATCACAGTGGGATAAGGAAAACAGAAAAGTTTGATGGCGATTAAATTTGGAATCCTGGGGTCCTTTAATACATTTTCTTCAGGGAAAAATGGGAATAATGGCAGCAATTAAAACTAATTGTCTTCCTTAGTTGGAGTTTTATGAAAGAAAACTATTATGAAACCTATGATAATCCTTTAAAACTACCTTTTTTTAAATATCTACAGCTCAGACTGTTCTCTTTAACTTTTAACTTTTGGAACTTTTAGTATAAATGAAACGAAATTAAAAAAAAAAATATTAAAATTTGAATACTTGGTTTTGGACAAACGGAATGAGCTAGTAATTTGGAATGAGAGTAACTGATGGAGTGCAGAATATATTTACCAAAGGGTTTTTGAAAATTCGAACT